CCTGGCAGTATTCAGTCCACAAGCCAATCGTGAAACGCTTTTCTTTTTCATTAATATTATTGTACCATGATTTGCTTGGCACACAGTCTGTCTTCAGATAAGTGTTATATATATATATATATATATATATATATATCTGCAGATAAACAAATATTTCCNATGTGTGTGTTTCTGTGTGCATGCACGCGGTTTTTCTTTTGGGTCCGTGCGAACGACCCCTTTCGTTTGGCCCTAATCGGATCCCTTCGATCGTGTGCTTTCAGATTCAAGACAACCTGCGCAAAGGCTTCACCGAAGATGGATCCATGGAACATCCCGAACCAGGCTACAAGGAAGGTATGCCGCTCAGTGTTAATGGGCTCAACGTATCCATATGGGATGAATCACAACACACACTGGTTTTGAAAATAGAGCACTTGTTTTTTTTTACATCAGTTTTCGTCTTTGCCATACATTGTGGTGCTTTGGTCTGCTGTTCCCAACAGAAAACAAGAGCAATTAAGTATTACGGGAAAATTTGCTGACCAATTCCTTTTGATGATCAAAATGAAGAAAAACTGATTTATCATTCACTTTGTTTACGAAAGGCTGATACCTTCTTGTGTGTTCATCATCGCGTTTTCTTCGATTACACACCCCATTGTGTGAACATAGGGCTCCGCAAGAATCACACACGTCGGAGCCCAGACCTAACCCTAGCCAGGTGAATTTACTTGGATAGTGCTCGACTGGAGCCTTTGGCTAACCAGGTTTCGATCTGCATGGCGATGTCTGAAAACCGCAATTCAATTTTAGGCAGCATCCAGGTCATCAGATCATACAGTCCTCGGACGTGGTCAGACATCCCAGGTGCTCAAAATATCTCGATGCTCAGTCAACCCGGTGACCATTGATACTCCTCTTTTTATTCGGTTTGGGGAATCAGGGTTTTGCGCCAACTCCCCTAGGTGGAGTGAGTGATGCTTCAGGATGTTGGCTTTGCGTCCTCTCACTTTGGTAGCGACAAACCTCTACCACGAGAAAGCAGTGAGTAGGGCTTCCTCAGCAGAGAAAATTTGAAACGATTGGTCGCATAAGAGTATTTCTGACCATATGCAGGCTTTCCCAGGCTTGTCTTACCGTCTTGTAAAGCGTGCTACTCGGTCGGTTATTCATACATCTTTTTGACATTTGATTCCATCCTAATGGCGTTTGATCAGATGAGCTAAATACCGTCCTCCAGTAGGTTTTTTAAATTTTTTAAATTTCATACACTTGTCTGATGAACCACAGACAGACTGGACCCCATAGTCTCGAAGACCTGCTGTTTAGTGATGAAACGGTAACCTCAGCACCGGGACTTGGAGTGGCGAACCACATAAAGTCCCACTGAATTATATATATATATATATATATATATATATATGTATATATACTACAGTAAGTAGTATACGAAGGACTCGAACATATTCCCCTAGAAGCACACGACTGGTTTTACACTTCTTGCCGCTCGTCAATCATGCGAGTTTGGTAATATTTTGTCTCTTCATTCATATACTTGTTTTTAGCATCTACTCCACCTTCAAACATCGAATCGATAATGGACTATTTTTGAAAGAGCTGTCCAAGTAAATAAGGCTATAGAAATGCATCAAGAGAGAATGGTGGCGTAAACTGTGTTGCAAAAGTTCTATATCAGTATATGGCGACAGAAAAAGCCTGTGAAATTTAATAATAATATATGACGTAAACATCACTCGTTCATGGTTTCCGAATTGATCAAGGGGCAAGATAATGTTTCGCAAACGACACTCATCACTTGCATTCAAGTGTGGTTGTTTTAGTGAGTCGATTAGTTTTTGACATCGATTGAGCAGCACCCTATGCACACAGCTGAAAAAATCCCGGCCGGCTTGCCGTGTAGTGTCTTTGACTTTTAGTGACTCCATATGTAATATCCGAATATATGTACGTGCGAATTTATCTAGCAGTCACCTAAACGTTTTCCCTGTCATCATCATCATCATCTCTTTTTGGTGTCAGGGTAACTAAGAAATTCCAGCTATGAATGAACATAAAACGGTCACTGGCGTATCCGATGAACTGAATTAAACAAAATTTGCTTCATTCTTATTTTCCGGACCCTTGCCCTATCACTTTTTCTCAAAATCTCCAGGTATATCTTCAATCCCATACGTTTCTGTCCTGCTGCATGTAATTTAGGGGCATGAAATTACTGACTGCACTGTCCTCGGGCGTTTCCTTGTGTACATGGTAACGTATCTTTTTCAGTCCATTTTATGGGATTTGGGTAGACAAACTGCAGCAGTCGTTTCTAATCCTGTCTAATTTTTTTTGTACTGTTTTTGTCCCCCTTCTCCACACATTCCTATTCGATTTTGTCTATCACCCCCGTCTGCGTGCCGGTTACAAATATTAATGAAGCCCGCGTGACTAGTCTGACCGTTTTTGTATTCCTGCTTTCGCGACTACTTTCAATTGTCTTACACATTTTACTGTCTTAAGAACCAGATGGTGTAAATTGCATGATTCTTTTCGTTGATTAATTCATCCATCCACTCAAATTTTTGTTCTTCCACTCAGTTACTCCACTTCCCCCTCCCCCCCCCCGCACGCTGTGAAGTATTGTGTGATGCGGGGTCTGGTATTTTCAGTTGGGGTTTCTCGACCAGGTCGGACGACCAAACATCCAGATTTTGTGTACACCCATGCGAACACTCGTTTCGGACAGTCTCTCCCGTACAGACAGAACACTCTACTGTATCCCTTGTATGCGCTCGCTCGCGCGCGCGCGCGCGCGTGCGTGTAATTCGGTTGCCATTTCTCTGAATACTACCCTCTCATCCACTGACACACACTCGTACACTGCTTGTTTATCATGCCCTATTGTACTGTATTGTCCGTTTTTCGATTCTTCTCACAGCCTCATTGAGTATATGGATTCGACGCGAGGTCCGTGTCCTGTCCACCTGTCTCTCAATCTATTTGTCCGAATTGGATTATCAAGCTGCCCTGGATACGGTTCATCAACTGGCAATTACTTGTGCTTCGAGTCCCGGTGTGCTTCGTGGTTTGGCCAGTATCATGGGGCGTATCTATCTACAGGTGGGTTCGTTCGTCCCTTATTATTCGGTTATGCCCTGATGGATTGACTAGGAAACGCCTATATTCTATTGTAGAAACCTTGGTGTTCGGATACCTATCATAGAAGAGACAAGGGGCTCGCATACAATNCACGAAATTTCGCGCTGTGCGATCCCGTAGATTGTCTTTTCATTCTCCTCCAATGAACACAAAACGAAAAATTATTTCATACTACATCGGTCGCCGCGCAGGATAATCAGGATCGCGCTACCCATCGCATCGAGCGGGGTGGGTGGGTTACTGCTCAGATATCCCAACCTTTGTTTAACTCTTTGTCTTCCCAACCCAACCCTGTCCCTTTACCTCTTTTTCCGACCCGTAATATTCCCTCAGACAACTTGGTCGTCACTCGCCAAAGGTCGTTGCCAGATAGCACTATAAATAGTTTTCCTGTAGATAAAGTACAGATTCTGAAGCCTCGTCAACCTATTAATCTGGGGGCCTTCAACGTTAGGACTCTCATGCAGGTGGGTTAACAGGCGTGTCTTGCGCGTACATATAAGTCTTTAGTAATTGATGTCTGTTGCGTATCGTCGATACGAATTCAAGATCCTGGTATCATAAGCCACCTGAGTGTGCCGGGTCTGTCCTCAAGGTATTTCCATCGCACATCAGGAGACGATGAAGCCCACTCATTGGGTCAGCGTGATATAGGGATCGTATTAAACGATAAAGCTGAAGCCTCTA